ACCGATCTCTACTTTATATTGGAAAGGGCTCTGCGCAATACATGTGGAATTGATCTTCGATTATTTGTTGTCAGTCCTGACCGCAGATCTCTGAAGACAGTTCCGAGAATGGCAGTAGCTTTATACTGGAATAGAAGGTGATAGAGGATTGGAAATCCCTCCATAGAAATTCTTTTTTCTTCTGGTCCATCTGAGGCTTATACAGAGCCAGCACGTAATGACCTACCTAGTAGTTATCTCGGTTATGTCTGACCACAGAAGCTCTGATTTTCACACTATAGCTTCTATTTTCAACCTTGTTGACTGGCCTTCCTTGATCTGACCGCCTGTTTAACAAAGCTACAAGCTGTGTGGTATGTGTCATATAGGCTGTTTTGTGAACGGCGGGTTTCGATGTTCTCCTCAACCTTATGTTGGGTATGGGACATTAGTTGGACACAACGTGCCAAGATTGTCAGCACGAAGATACTGTACTTTGATGGTCTCTTTTAAAGCTACTTTCCTTGCGGACTGACGTATCAGCATTCTGTGCATGAATGACACAACTTGAATAGTCGATGTTAGTGTTTCTACTGGCAAAAGCAAGTTGTGGCCTCGTTCCCGCGAGAAACGCTGGAAATTAAGCCTTGGTGTGTTCAGAGCGCTTTGTGGGGGTGCTTCATATGATCGTAGATACATCATTATGCTTTGAAAAATGGCAGATCTACTAATTGTACCAGGTTCTAGACATTGATGTACGAATAGTACGCTACGTACTATTAGATAGACGAATCCTTTGGGATTATCCTTTAGTTACAAGGAGCGAAGCCAGATATCTATCCCCTAGGGTTCGCCTAGTTTTAGAAATAAAAAAGGACAAAAGAAGTAAATACTAGCGCAACCTATCAATGAACCCAATCCTAAAGACGGGATACAATAATCCAGACGGCATAAACTGGCCATTGTCCTACAACAAGACCGTGAATGAATCACCAACAGAGGATCATCATGGATACTATCTATATCTAGAAGAAAAAGTTACGAACACCTCCGAAGCCACTACCTATCACACCGACACTGTGAATATAAACAGTGAAGACAAGAGAGCCAAAAAAAACAGATAAAGGGGTTAATATGAAGGAAATATTGCAGCAGCGTATTTCTATCTAAGTGCATCATTATATCCCCAAAAGCACATGACGCGCACTTCGATGATAGGGCCATGTGATTTGTCAAGCGTTGGCATCCCGCCCATGGTATCCCAAAGCAACACTGTCTAGGGGTGCAGCCCTAGAGGGGTAGTGGGACAAATAAGAGACAATCATATCCCCAGGAACCTTAACCCGCAGGGGCAATAGGGGCTCTGTACAAAGGACTTAATATGTACAGATATCAGATCTCAAGGATCTACCCGGCACGAGGGAGAGACATGTCGATGCAAGGTGAGGCGGGCACCTGCCAAACACTATGTGACTATGATCCAAAGTCTGTTGGTTCTTGACTATGTCTTTGGGATTTCAAATTTTGGTTTAGTTTCTTGTGAATCGTCTATAGAGTTTCCTTGGGCCCAATCGTGCATGTTGGAAGTTAATTTATGTCGCTTATCATGAACCACTATATATACTCCGGAACTTTGAACGATAAGCCATAGAGAGTTCACGATTGAGATTAGATCTTCCTAAACCGGACTTGTCCGAGCCGAATCCAGCCGCTTGGGAATGGGAATGGGTAATCGAAGCGAGAGGCACACAGTAAATGTTATGTTTAATATATTAAAATTTCTAAAGTATCTGGCAAATGGTAGGATCGATCGTAGACTGAGAGATGTGCCAAAGCATCTTGGTCATGGTCATTACTCCTCCCATCCAACTGTGGTGGCAGGAACGGGGATATAAATAGCGTTGTCGGTACAGCTGGCAACTTGACCAAAGTGGTATGCAAGATGATGATCGCCGAAAGAAGACCAGCAATATTGATCTTGGCAGATCGAGCTCCTTACCGATGGATTCAACTTTACTCGCCAGGCCAACCGAACTCGGGCAGTGGCGTGTTGAGAAAGAAGAAAGAAAGAAAAAAAGAAAATCGAATCAAGAACAGGTAGCCCGAGGTAGTAGGCAATCACCCAGGCTGCAGCACCGCCATGTCAGGGGTGATGAGCATTATTCATCGAGCGTATGCACGATGTACAGCTATTACTGCGGGATTACACCGCAGGCCGCTAGTTCGCTGCAGGTCCCAATGCTCGCGTGCAGCACTAGCCATCTTCGGTGCGCAGTGTTTGCTGTTGCTGTCAAGACTGAGGAGTGCCGACCGTGAGGAGAATCGCTGTGGGGAAGGAAATGGTCTGATACTAGCATGGAATGACTGGGTTTTTAGTAACTTCATTATTCAACATCACACCTTGGAGCAACCTCGGAAGGGGCATGTCAAATTTCCCTGGCGCATGCTGACGCCCTGAAAGTGAGTGAATCCAGTAGTAGTGCTGACCGGGAGTTTCAAGCCCCATCAGGCTGGCAAGACAGGGGCAAGTGGGAAAGTGAGAGTCTAGAATGTCGCCTCATGTCCGATCACCTGCAATGTGGTTAGGCCCAAACGGGTAATATTAGTTGGCGTCGGTCACGGGGGAAGGAAGGGCGATGAAATTGAATCGGAGAACTCGAAGAACTAGAATTAAATAGTCTTTTCCTTCCCTCCGTCCTCAATTAAATATTCCGAAACTAACGGTTGGAACTGTAATCACTAACGTCATCATTTGTCCGTTTTCTGTCAAGAATGCTCGTTAAATAAAAGTCACGACGCCTCTTCCGGGGAAAAAGGTGCCCTGGGTATTGATTTCAAGGAAACGCCGACGCGTACGAGCTTGATAGTAGTCGAAAGTACTGGATGTCGTCATTCGGTTCCATCGTTCTCCAGTTCTGAAGCCCGTGCGGGGGGGCCCAGAGCCGATCGAAAGAGGAGGCTGGAGCTGAAAAAATAATAACTACTAATCCCAAACTCCCAAAATTCCAAACTAAAAAAAATAAAAATCAAAAAAATTACCGGCCTGACTTTGGGGCGAGCGTTCACTGGTTGGACGACGGGTTGGAAGGGAGTCCGAGGGTCAGTCCGTCGTCGAGCAGTCGAACTACTAAATTGTCTACGTAGTCTTGGAGGAGTATAACTTCTGACTAGGGTCGCAACCAGGGTCAGTCTTGTCGTCACCGAATGGGGTTTGGATCGGCGTCGGACCTCGTAAGGAGTTTCGATTTTATTCAAACCTTATGCACTCTCGTTGTCGAGTGATTCTTTTTTGGATTCTCTCCATTCCTCTCCGCCACGAGAGGAAATACTAGTCAACCCTGTGGTCACGGAGGTGGCTCGTTTCATGCGGAGAGAAGGATATAGTAGGATATAGTAGGATACTACCTCACGGGGCCCAACAGGATTGTTACGGAGGACGACTAGAGCTCCAAAGGGCAAAAGAGGAGACGGGCTGCAAGTCAGACCAACCAAAACCAGCCAGCAAATAGATCGTGCTCGAGTGAAATGATGGAGCCCAGGCAGACGATCCACGGAAAGCCAGACGGCCGTTCCTTGTCTCTGGAACCAATGACGCTCCCAGACGGGCTTAATTCATCGAACATTGAGATCAATCATCTTGCGAAGATCACTTTCACTTTTGCATGTTTCCCTGGGGTAGTAAGTAGGGTTACGCTTTTCCGTTGTAGACCGTCGAGTCAGGTACACATTTTGCAGTTCCATTGTTCTTTTTGTATACTCTTTCCGTTTTCAAATTTCTCTTTCCTTCCGGTCATTTTGCTTGCTTTGTCCCACCCGCGGGAGAGGTACCGGTGGGAGTCGTAGTATCGGATGTATATCCATCGTACGTCAACTGTGTCTGGTAGTTCTGTACCTTGTACTCTGTAATTATTGTATGTACACTTCTCTGGACAACCATGGCAACTGCAAAAAACCACCCCCATTCACCAGACCCTACCCTACTCTACACAGTTCCAGAATTCCGAGTTCCCTTGTTATCCACCCATACAACAACATCTGACATACACAACCCTAACCTGGAGGAGAACGACAAAACCGAGGACAGTCGACTCATTTCCCAGGATGGCAGTAGCCTTGCACAGCTATCCATGTCTGCCTCACCTCTGTTCCTTCACCAACCAGTGTCGTCTCCACCCGAACGAGACATTAGCTCTTAAAGTGGAGGATGATCGGACGGTGAGGCTTTATGATTTGATTAAACCCGTATGGCTCTTTTTTGGTTGGCCGCAGCCTGATCGAATTATTACCCGGAACGGATTAAAAGTACCTGTACTAACTGTTATTTTCCCCAGTAGATCCGGATCTCGTTTTATAGGTATTTTCATAATTCATTAAATAAAAAAATTTGTAGTGCAAAAAAAATAAAAGAGGTCTCCATTCAGTGGATCTGCGGATACAAAAAAGAAAAAAATAAAAAGACAGTAATAAAAAAAAACCTGTCAAATCATTACTAAATTACCAACAGAGAAAAAGAAAAACATTCGAAAAAATCCCCTCTCTTTGCAACCAATCCTTCGGTCGAGCTGGATTGATATCTTCTTCCCCTTCTTTCACAACGCTTTTCTTCTTCTACTTGACGGTCAACTTGTCTCTGTTTCTGTCTCGGGTCAAAGAACAGTCGATCATAAAGGGCTTTCCAGGCCGGTCACACTGTACGCATTCCTCCACTCTCTCCCTTTGTCCAGGAGAGCTCCCATCAGAACCTTCCTACCAACCTTCGACCACCTTCCCACTCGCCCTATCTTCATTCAAACCTCCTCGCCTCTTTGTCTTTCTCCTGGGGCCGCCGATTACAAAGATAGAGGATTATGCTCTAATTTCCACTTCCTTTAATTTTTTTTCTCATTTTATTTTCTTTCCTGAGGGGTTCCTGCGTCAATTTCTTCTCTCTGAGCGAGGTGGCCTTCTAGCTTCGACTTCAATGAGCTTGTGGAGGCTTACATTCATCGGCCAATCGATCCCTTCCGAACCCCTCCACTTGCACATTCCAAACGGCTCCCAAATATCTGGACTTCGCCCCAGAGGGTTGCCTGGCAGCTTGTGTTGAATGGTTGCTAGGATCACAGCGTTGCTGACATGAGTTGGGATCACCCTGTCCACAGGTATGTTAGTCAATCTATCTACTCCCGTGCATAATGCCTTTGCCCCCAGGCGGGGCTTGTTTCTACACCCACTAGTTCCGTATCGATATACGGTGACAAATTCTGTCGTCTGGCCTAAATTGTTCCAACTCACACTGGATTTACATTGTGTTGTGGCACCCAATTGAGACGGTTGGGAAATTGGTTTTGTGGTTTGCGGAGCTCCAAACGAGCTCCGTCTCATTACTCCGAACAATGAAGCTGACCGAGCCTGCCATCATGTTCAGCTTCAGCTATCCCAACGGCGAACCTCAGACACCGACGAGGACCCCTCCGACCACGGTCTTCGACGATTCGGCCTTCCAAACCCCGAAGCTCGAATCGAGCTTCTTCGACCCCAGAGTCACCTGGGACACCTCGGATCCATATGCGTCGAGCCCAGAGTTCCTTCGAACCCCCCAGAAGTTCGGTCTGAGTACACCGTTGAATAACCATCTCCGACTGCCCAACACAGGCGTCGAGTCAGCCAATGGACGGAACCTGAAGGAATCGGAACAGGAGACGGACACAGCCAAGCGCATCCGGGCGGCCAAACCCAATGGGCATATTGAAGACGAAGGTCCCCGGACGGTGGAATCCACCAAATCGGCTGCCTCCATGCAGACCCCGCCGCCGAGTAGTGCTTCTCGGAGAAAGGTGACCGGGCTGGAAACTGTCAGTGGGACGGGACGACGGCCATCGGCCTCGAGTGCCATCGGTGGCCACCTGGAAACTCCAAGTCGTTTGATGGGAGCGTCCCCCAGATTGTTTGGTGATCTCCAAACGTCTCCGGACCCCTTCCAGCTGGCCGGGATCGATCCATCCGCGTCTCCTTTTTTTCCTCAGCAGAGACTCTTCTGGGATCATGACCTGGAGCCACAGGGAGGGGACTTGGGCTTGTCCGGAAGTAATATGGACTTCTTTGATTCCCATACGACTGATGCATTTCACATGAACCCAGCCTTCTCCCAGGCCCCTCACATTCCGCAATTGCCGTCGATTGAGGGAACCCTAGATCTACCGGAGTTCAACAGCAATACATACGGTCTCACCTCGGCGGCACCCACCGATGCGGCCCTGTTTCCCGCGCCTTTCTCGACCTCCCCCCGTATCCCCATTCACAAGGCTGAAGACCCAGCCATGTTTCTGAGCTCTCCGGCCCGTCGCTTCGGAGGGCCCCAGCCATCCCCGGACAAGAGACTTTTCTCAAGGCCGGGACGGCAGCCCTACCACCACCAGACCGAAGAATCAAAAAGGGAGCAGCTTCGACGCACGCAGAGTGTGCACCAGAAGCTGCCCACGTACGTCGACGACGATGAGGACGATTTCACTCCTCGACAGGCTCGACCGACGCTGACGCGGAGTCTCACCCAGAGTGCTCTATCCGCACAGCGTCCCGGGTTCGGTGGAGTGATGTCGTCCTCGTCTGGTATCCGGAAGAGCCCTTCGAAGAGATCCTCTCCCACCAAACCCCAACGGCAGCCACTACAGCGCTCCAATTCAGTCGCTGCTGGTCTGCCCCGGCGCTCCCAGTCTGTGGTCCTTCGGATTGGCAGGGACGGTAGAGCTAAGGCAGAGATGCAACCCGTCACCGAAGCCCCCCCTACCGGGCTGTCGGACCCTCTCACCGGGATGGACTTGGATGGTTCCACGACCGAAAGCGAATATGACTCGACCGAATTTTCGGAGTATCCCACCGTTTCCAGCCGGAATCCGTCGATGACCTTCTCGGACACTGGCTCCCGACCACACTCCAAGGGCTCCTACACCTCTACCGCGGCTTCATCCCAGTCCGGCCGGGGATCGCCTTGGAACGGCTCCTCTCGGGGTCTAGCCAGAAGGCCAACTTATCGACAAGGGCTGGATGACTGGAAGCGTACGCCAAAGCGGCAATCCATGATCCTGCCGTCCGACATGGCCTACCGCAGCGCTAGTTCGATCCCGGCACCCCTCGCTGATTCCGAAGAAGAATCCGGTGATGCCCAGCATGCACTCCGCAAGGTACTCCAGGAGAGAGGCCGCATTCCTCGGTCCCACACGGTCAACTTCGGCTCCCGGGTCAACCGATCCTCACGCTCCTTGGCCCATCTCCGTTCCTCACCACCCCGGTTTGGCGCCGAATTGGATCTCAATCTGCAGGCCCCGAACACGTCCCCCACGACCATGACGGATCCTGACCTGGCCACCCCAAGCACCGACCGATACAGCAATCCCAGCAATGGAACCAGATGTATCTGTAACTCCATGGACAACGGTGGCCACTTGATGATTCAATGGTATTTACCCTCTCCACGACGCCTTGCACGCAAACCAGGAAACTGATCTGATCTAGTGAATCGTGCAGCCACTGGCTACATACCAAGTGTGTCGGTCTGGAGCGAGCCAACCTGCCATCGGTCTACGTTTGTGTCTTCTGCACCCATACTCCTTCGCGGAGGAATCGCATCCGGGTCCCTGTCGGCAGCGTTGGCCATGCGCCAACGTCGCCATTGGCCCACAAATCCTATCGATTCCGATAGAAGAAATTATGACGATGAACCCCACATCCGCAGGCAAGCAGGCAAGCCATTTGTGTGCCTGTCATGGATGGATCATGACACGATTCGCGTCAGCTTTTCCCCTCGGCCCTCACGGATGAGGTCCCGAGACTGACGGCCACACTCTTTCTCGTTTTCCTTTTTTTTCTTTATTTTAACGGGTCTCCTTTGTTCGTTGTGCGATAACCTTAGACATACCCCCCCCATATTTCCTTTGAGACATGTGTTGGCTCACCATTGTACATTGGTGGCTTTGTTTTTATGCATCCCTGGTGAGATACTGCCGTTTATCATTTATTTCCTAATTTTTGTATTAATTGTCGGGCGAGCGGCCTACGTGATACCTATGTACTACTGTAACTAGTGACTTTGGACAAAATTAGGATGGCGCCCGTGGCCCATCGACTGGATAGGACCGAGTATTGAATGAACTGTACTTAATCACTGCCTAAGTGGAAATAAGAGTAAAGAAAGTGTGCCTGGCGGCTATTGTCGGATGGCGATCCGGACCTGAAATCCACCTGCAAAGGCGGTGACGGGACCCTTGCCGACCCTCTGCAATTGGCGGGCGGTCATTGGTGGACCTGGCGCCTTATCGGGCTCACCGCCTCCGATAGCGCGAGTGGTTCCTGTGAATGATTTTCTTCGTCTCCGGGTGACTCTTTTTCCCCCCTCGTTCACTCCAGGATTCCTTCTCCAGAGCTGCTGTCTTTGCCATCTGTCACACTCGCTCTCCGGCCATGTCCAGCTCCATTCCTGGCAATCGGGATCTCCCTCCCTCTCAGTATGATCTGAGTACATACTGGGGCCGTGTGCGACACTCGGCTGACATCGCCGATCCGAGGTATGGCCCCTCCGCCTCATCATGACTGAGAGCCCTGCCCGGGCTGTATCCAGCATGATGTGGTTCATGCGCCTGTTTGATATTGACAAATGTTCACTAGGATGTTGTTTGTCTCCTCGTCGGGGCTGGAGAGTGCGAAGCAGCTCATCTCCTCCTATAAGCAGAGCCATGTTCCCGCTATGACACCCGAGTTGTGGCGTGCGAAGAAGGTGGTCGATTCCACCCTGCATCCAGGTCCGTTGCCCACATGATATATCCTGAATCGGTCTAACCAACCTTCTTAGACACTGGCGAACCCGTTTTCCTTCCCTTCCGCATGTCCTGCTATGTCATGACCAACCTTGTGGTGACGGCTGGCATGCTTACGCCCGGGCTACAGGTATGAGTTCTTGTGTTACACAGCATTGTCGTCAGCTAACGGAAAACTTGTCAGACCACTGGTACACTTCTCTGGCAGATTGCGAACCAGTCGCTCAACGTCGCCGTCAACAACGCAAATGCGAACAAGTCCACCCCTTTGTCCTACTCCCAGATGGCCAAGTCATACCTGATGGCCGTGTCGGCATCGTGCTCGGTGGCGCTGGGTCTGAACGCCCTCGTGCCCCGTCTGAAGGGCTTGTCGCCCAGCACGAAGCTCATGCTCGGCCGACTGGTGCCCTTCGCCGCCGTGTCCAGCGCCAGCGCCCTGAACGTGTTCCTGATGCGGGGCGAGGAGATCCGCCAGGGTATCGACGTCTACCCGGTTTTGTCGGAGGCCGAGAAGAAGAAGCGGGAGGAGACCGGCGAGCCGATCCAGAGCTTGGGTAAGAGCAAGAAGGCCGCCACCATCGCTGTGGGCGAGACTGCGGTCAGTCGTGTGCTGAACGCGACCCCGATCATGGTCGTGCCGCCGTTGGTTCTGCTCCGGTTGGAGAAGACGGCTTGGCTTCAGGCTCGGCCCCGCATGGTGCTGCCCTTGAACCTGGGATTGATCTTTGCTACATCCCTGTTTGCCCTGCCGTTGGCGCTGGGAGCCTTCCCGCAGCGCCAGGCCATCAGTGCGCAGTCTTTGGAGGAGGAGTTCTGGCAGAAGGGAGGCAAGGACGGGATGGTTGAGTTCAACCGGGGGATGTAAAGCTCCCCTGTTTTGTTTTGCATGGTTGACGTTTGGGATACAGCTTCGTTTGGTTTCTTTTCTTCCGTTTCTATTACCCTTTTGATGTTGGCGCATCATGGACAGAAAGGCTCAGTCCCGTATATACAGGCTATGGATAGATTACATAGATATCATACATTCTCATTGACGGCTTATAGAGTTCAGATACTCCGCAAACTCTTCAATATATCCTCCATCTCCCCAACGCAAACCAGCCCTAGTCACGGTGTATCCACGGTAATCCCACTCCAGTAATCTAGAACCGGACAGCAATCCAATCCACATAGAACACTTCTTCCGACTAAGATACTCTAAATGGAAATGTCTAGTCGTGACCAGAATACCATACGCACATTGCATTTGCAATCTCAGTAGAAGAAAGACCCTGTACTCCATCCACAAACACAACCCTTGCTCCTCAGATATCCTCTACCACCGAACCACAAACCCAAGAAGACTAATACAACTACCACATCCATCCTTCCAATGGATTATATACAATCCCCAATTAAGACAATTTACCAAAATTTCCCTGAAAACCAGTCCCACCGACAGATACATTAATAGCTAAACACAACACACATACCTGACTCAACACCCCCCCCCCCCCAAAAATGACTCACCCACCCCAAATACTGACCCTCAGCATAAAAACCCACCCGACATCTCCTACAACCTAGACAATACTAATCACACATCGG